CTGTTGAGCCGTGGGGTCGTAAAGCAACCAGAGCACGGCAGCGTGAAATCCGCAGTAAATGACGCCTCGCAGGTTACCCCTGCGAGAGTCACACTGCTAGGTGCTCGCGACCGCGCAGCCCGCAGGATGAAGCGATTTTGCGATCTGACGCCTTTTTCAGACTTTTTTGCAAAAGTTCCGTTTAGGTCGGCTTGGCGTCTGCCCATACACCCGTGACGGCTCCCTGCCGGCTCTGCGCAGCGACAGCGGCGATTGTTATCAGGGGGCGGTTCAGGTGCTTATCAGACGACTAATCGATCGGTTGAGGGGCGTTGGCTGGCGGGTGACCCATCACCCCGCCCCTACCTGAGTCCGGTTGGGCGCCGCCATCGTGCGGTTGCCTCCGATGCTGTTCCACAGGCAAGGTCTTGACTTCACTTTCGTTCCGAATCGTCGGGCTAGGCTTAGTTGCCGCCCTCCACGCCTGCGTTGCGGAAGCGGCGTCGGGTAGCGAGGTCGCGTCGGGCGAGGCTGCGGTGCGTCCGCTGCTCACCACCTGGGGAGAGCAACTCGACAGGTCAGCAGTTCTGCCCGAGAACCCGCGGCCGCAGATGGTGCGTGTTTCCTGGACGAATCTAAATGGCGAGTGGGATTTTGCCCTCGCGCCTTCGGGCGATGGCGAACCTGAGACATTCGAAAGGAAGATCGTCGTACCCTTTCCGGTCGAATCGGTCCTATCAGGGGTGGCTTCCGAGGTCAGACCGGAAGATGCCGTTTGGTATCGCCGGAAGTTCGACCCCGGCAAGCATGACGGTCAGCGGGTGCTGCTGCACTTCGGCGCCGTCGATTGGCAGACGAAGGTCTGGGTCAACGGCATTGAAGTTGGTGAACACACGGGGGGATACGACCCTTTCTCATTCGATATCACCAAGGCACTCACCGCGAAGGGCCCGCAATCGCTCGTCGTGCGGGTGACCGATCCCACCAATCGAGGAAGTCAGCCCCACGGGAAACAGTCGCTCGAACCGGGCGGCATCGTTTACACCGCGGTGACCGGCATTTGGCAGACGGTTTGGCTAGAGACCGTTCCGCAGACGCGGATCCGATCTTTGCGGGTCACGCCCCACGTCGATTCAGGTGAAGTCGAGTTGGTCGTCGACGCCGAGGGCCCGGGGTTGGGCAAGACGGTGGTTCGGATTGCAACCAAGAGCGAGGGCGGCGCGCCGCTCCGAGTTACCGGCAAGCCGGGTGAGTCGCTGCGATTGGCGATCCCGAACGCCCGTCTCTGGTCGCCCGACGATCCTTACCTGTACGAGCTTGATATCGATCTCGCTGTCGAGTCGGGCAAGGTCCACAACGTTGTCGATCACGTCGGCAGCTACGTCGGCATGCGGAGCGTCGCGGTCGTCCCGGACGAGCGTGGCCAGAGCCGAATCTGTCTCAACGGCAAAGAGTGCTTCAGCTTCGGCCCGCTCGACCAAGGCTATTGGCCGGACGGTCTCTACACGGCGCCTAGCGACGAGGCGCTTAAGTGGGACATCACAATGACCAAGAAGTTCGGCTTCAACACGTGCCGCAAGCATGTGAAAGTCGAGCCGGCTCGTTGGTACTACTGGTGCGACAGGATCGGCTTGCTTGTGTGGCAAGACATGCCGTGTGGCGGCGAGCGTGGCATCGGGCCTAGCGAGGCAGACCCGACGTGCTCCCCCGAATCGGAAGCGGTCTTCCGCGCCGAGTTAGAAGCGATGGTGGACGCCTTATCGCATCACCCATCGATCATCGTGTGGGTCCCCTTCAATGAAGGCTGGGGCCAGTTCAAGACCAACGAGATACTTGCATGGGTGAAGGGTCTCGACCCGACTCGTCTAGTTGACGGGCCGAGCGGCTGGGCGGATCGCGGCTACGGCGACTTATTGGATAGGCATGACTATCCGGGCCCCTCCATCCATCCTCCCGAGGAGGGTCGCGCAGCGGTGCTCGGCGAGTTTGGGGGTCTTGGCTTGGTGACTCCCGACCATGTGTGGCTCGATGTCACGAACTGGGGCTACCAGAGTTTTGATAACGAGAAAGAACTGGCCAAGAGTTATAAGTCGCTCATCGACAACCTTTGGCTCCTAAAGAGTGACGGGCTTGCCGCCGCGATCTATACTCAAACCACCGACGTCGAGGGCGAGGTCAACGGCCTCGTCACCTACGACCGCCGGGTTCTCAAGATCGACCCCAACAAAGCGGCGATCTGGAACAACCGCCTTTACGGGCCCGCGCCGAAACTGACGACGGTGCTCGCCACTTCTCAAGACCCGTCTTCGATGGGAGCGGAGTGGAGCTATTCGACAACGCAGCCGGCGGCTGATGATTGGATGGCGAGTGACTACGACGACTCTGCGTGGCAGATTGGCCGAGCAGGATTCGGGACGCCTAACACTCCCGGCGCGACAGTCAGGACCGAATGGGACACGAGCGACATCTGGTTGCGTCGCACGGTGCGGCTCGATGACCCTCAGTTGCTAGAAGACCTGTACTTGTTGATCCACCACGACGAAGACGCCGAGGTCTATCTCGACGGCAAGCTCATCAAGACGCTCTCGGGATTCACGCTCGACTACACCATCGTACCGCTCTCGGCCGGAGCCAAGAAACTCTTCCGAACCGGTGAGCATTCGCTCGCCATCCACTGCCGTCAGACGGACGGCGGCCAGTTTATCGATCTCGGATTGGTCGCGGTCCAAACAGAGCCAGCCGACGCGGCGACGGCGGAGAAGGGCTCCTCGTCGAACCTCTCGAAAGCCAAGGGACGCGGCTCTGTAAGACGGTAGGCAGCAACACCAACAAGAAAAACTTCTGCGACGCAACGAGCGCGGCCCCACGCCGTGCATGACGAAAAGACTTGTTCCTCTTCCAAGAATCTCCTAGCCCCGATGATCCGCCCGCAAGGAGGGCCCGCATGAAACGCCTCTGGACAATCAAGCACAGCGCACCTTTCGCCCTCACGGCGTTGGCCGCGATTCAGGCGACCCCGTCGGCTGAAGCCCAGCCATCGCCCGTCAACCGCTACACCTTCAACGACGGCGCTGTCACCGACATCATCAGCGGGCAGAACGGCACACTCGTTGATCCGTCGGGCATCGCGTTCTACTCGGGCGGTCAGGTCCGGCTCACTAACAACAACAATTTCAGTTCGGCGCAAGACTTCTCGTCGCCGACGGCCAACGGCGCCTACGTCGATCTGCCGAACGGTCTGATCAGTTCCGCGGCGAATAACGGATCGCTGTATCAGTTCAGTCTGGAGTTTTGGGCCACGGTTCAAACCAATCGTGACTGGGCTCGTCTGGGCGACTTCGGCACCAGCGTCGGCGGCGAAGATGTGTCAGGAAGCGGCGCCACCACGGACTACTTGATCGTCGTGCCCCGCACGGGCGGTCGTCCCACACCCGAGGAGACCAACAAGTTCAGCGTCTCGAGCCACTCAGCGGGTGGGCAAGAAGACTTCATCTCGGCGCCGTCCGAGTTGGCGGCGGGCGTCGAGCATCACGTCGTCGTGACGGTGGATCAGACAGACTTCACCGGCGGCGGCAACGGAACGCTGTCGCTCTATCTTAACGGCTCCCTGGTGAACTCGGGCCCGGTTGAAGACGAAGGCTTCATCGACTTCACGCTCTTCAGCGATAACAACAACTGGCTCGGCCGCGCGCAGTGGGGAGACCCGCTCTTCGATGGAAGCTACAACGAGTTCAGCGTTTACGATTACTCGCTCAGTGCTCAAGACGTGCTCGACAGCTTCAACGCCGGTCCGGTTCCCGGTGAGCTGGCTGTTCCGCAGCTCGTCGTCAATCGTGACACCGGCGAGGTCACGGTCAACAACGCCACGGGTGAGCAGCTCAGCTTGCTGAGCTACTCGATCGCGTCGGAGTCGGGCTCCATCGACAACGTCGCATGGACTTCGATCGACGCGACAAACTTCGACGCCAACGGCGTTTGGACGTCGACGTCTGACACTCCGGAGTTGATCGCCGAAGGGACCACCGGCGACGGCGGTCAGATTGCCTCGGCGGCGGGCCGGACAATCGGCAATGCCTGGAACCCCTCGCCGTACGAAGACCTCGTTTTCAACTTCACGCTTGCCGGCGGCTCGCCGCTTGCCGGTGAGGTGGTTTACGTCGGCAACGACGGCGCAGCCATCGCCAACACCGACCTGAACGCCGATGGCGTTACGGATGCGGATGACTTCTACCTGTTCGCCGCCGCTTCGCAGGGCGACCTCAGCGGGATGTCTGCCTACGAGCTCTACAAGAACGGCGACCTCAACGGCGACGGCGCCAACAACTACGTCGATTTCAGGTTGTTCAAGGACGCCTTCATTGCCGCCAACGGCGCCGCCGCGTTCGCCGCTCTCGCCGCCTCGGTGCCGGAGCCGACCAGCCTGTTGCTCGTTGTCGGCGCCGGCGTTGGGCTGGCTTTCCGTCGTCGCTAGTCCACGCCCTTCTCCAAATCTATTCCGGAACCAAACCTCTCGCATCGCGGAGACACTTCCAATGATACTGCAGCGCATTCAAGCCGCCGGCTTCGCCGTCCTTCTGACGGCAGGCGCGGCCCACGCGAACACCGTCGCTTACTGGCGTTTCGAGACCGGCCCCGCCGACACGAACGTCATCCACTTGGCTGGTGACGACGCCGGCAATACCTACTCGGCCGACATCCCCGACGTGTCGGGCAATGGCCACGACCTCTCGGCATGGATCACCGGCGGTTGCTGCGGCTACGCCTACCGCTCCGACGTCGCGACGGGCACGATCGCGGCGACCGGCGCGACAAATAACTTCTCTGTCCAGNNATGTCCCGGGCTCCGTGGTCGATCAAACCGGAGCTACTAATAACTTCGCCGTCCAGAACACGGGCGGCGGCCCGGGCATGTTCACCGGCCCGACGGGCATCGGCTCGATCACGCCGTCCGCCTTCACGATCGAGGCTTCGTTCCGTCTAGAGAACGGCGGCTTCCGAACGATCATCGGTCGCGATGGTACGGATGTGGCCGACCAAAACCGTGAACTCGCGCCGGTCTACCTGCAAGCGGTCCCGGGCAACGCTCTGGCGATCAAGTTCGCGGACCAAGAGGGCTATTGGCACGAAGCGGTGTCGCCGGCGGAGATTCTCAACACCTTCGCTCCTCCGAACACAACCGAAGGCGATTGGTACCACGCCTCGGCCGTGAGCGACGGTTCGACATTGTCGCTGTACTTGGCGAACGCCACTCAAGGCACCGGTTACCAGCTCGTCGCCCAAACCGACATGACGTTGAGCGGCAGCACGAATACGGCGATGGCCACGCCCGCCGGCGACGGCGGCGATTGGGACGCCGGTAACTGGACCGTCGGTCGCGGCATGTACAACGGCGGCCACGGCGACCGCGCCTACGGGTTCATCGACGAGGTCCGCATTAGCGACAGCGCGGTTTCGCTGTCGGACATGCTCCACTTCGCCGGCGGCCAGAACCTGTCGATCGAGGTCAACACGTCGACCGGCGCCGTCACGCTTAAGAACAACTCGTCCGGCGCTGTGACCCTCGACTACTACGAGATCACCAGCGACGCCGGCGCGCTTAATCAGTCAAGCTGGAACAGCATGGCGGACCAGGGCGTTGAAGTGAGCCCCCCCGGCGACTACAGCGGCGACGGTGTTGTCGATGCCGCGGACTACACGGTCTACCGTGACGGTCTGGGTTCGACCTTTGCTCAGGCCGACTACGACGTCTGGGCCGCGAACTACGGCGCCAGCGCCGAAGACGGCTACGGGTGGACCGAGGCGGGCGGTTCGGACGCCAACATCCTGTCGGAGTTGCTGCTCGATGTCGCGGGCACATCGCTCATGCCGGGCGAGTCGATCTCGTTGGGCGCCGCGTACAGCACGGCCGTTGGCGGGCAGGACCTCGAGTTCAGCTACGGCCGTCCGGGGTCGGGCCTGTTCGTTGGCGGCGTGACCTACGTCGGCGCGGCGGCGACGATCCCCGAGCCGGCGACGCTGGCTCTGGTTGCTCTGGGCATGGCGGCGCTGGGGTGGCGTCGTACTGCCTGAA